ACACTTTTTATTTTATTTTTTTTATTGTTTTTGAAAGTAGATAATCTCTATCTCTACTATAAATAAGTCATATTTTTTATTTTTGTTTAGTTATTTAATTTTCATATTTTAGTTTTTATCTTTTACTAGTTATAATCTTTTTTAATTAATAGCTTGCTATTTAATTAATTCAAATCTTGAATTATATAAATTACTAGTGACTTCATTTAGTTAATCTTTATAATTTCTCTGATTTATTTATTTATTTAATTACTCTTTTGGAGACAATATCTATAGATATTGATACAGGTCTTAGAAATCTTTGTCATTATTGAAAATATAATCTAATTTTTCTCTCATTACCTTTAATTATTTCAGTCTCTCCCAACTCTATATTATTAAGTAAATTCAAGTAAAATCTCACTTACTAATTTATCATAATATTATTATTATATTAAAATATAACTTCAGATTATAATTATTAATTTTTAAGAAATCTTTAAATAAAATTTATTTATAAAGATTTATATTAATATTATTATTAATTTTGCAAAGATTTCTAATTTAATTTCAAGTAAAATAATCTTATATCATTATATTTTCATTGTTAAATTTTATTATTGGCTTTAAAAATATTTTTTTATCATATTAATCATATTATTTATTATTTGATTTAAATAACTAAAATTTACTTTTATCTAATCAGATTATCTTTTTTAAATTATTAATAGATTAATTTTTGTAAAGATTAAATAAGCTTTATAATGTTATTTTTAAAGTAATAAATTTTTCTTTTAATATGCATTAAGGTTATGTCTAGTAAGAGTATAACAAATTATATTGGCACTAATATTAATATTATCTTTTATTCTTAGAATTTTTTTTGACATTCACAGCTATTATATATGTTCATTAGCAATATAACAAAATATATAATTTGCTTGATTTTCAATAAGATATTCTTGTTTAAGAGTGTCATTAGCTACATATCTCTGGCTAACTTGATCATCATCCAGATGAAATAATTTTTCTGGATCAGTGCGAAAATTTTGGTCTGTTATTCAACCAGTATTGCTTTTATTTGACATGAATAAAGAAAAACAAATAAACAAATACATATACAGTTACACCTCTCTAAGTGCACCCTCCCTAAGTGCACGTACTATATAACTCCTCTCTAAATGCACGGTATATTCTGGTTCTAGCTTATAAGAGCTTTATATATTTTGACCTCTATAAATGCACACCCTCTCTCAATGCACACTTTTACTATGGTCCCAAGGAGGGAGGGGGGGGGGGGTTCACTTAGGGAGGTGTAACTGTATATCAATCTTTTATATTACAACTGATTTTTATTTTTATGTGTGATGTCAAATAGTTAATAATCAATGTGAAATGACAAAATAATGGAATCACGAATTTGAGAGATAGATTGGGAATAAATTTTTTAAACGAAAATTTGTTATAACTTACCATTTTTTTATTTTTAAAATTTTGTGGTTATTGCTGATAGATTATAATTTAAAAAATTTCGTTCAAATGATTATGGGAGCCACTTACATGACTTCTGAAATGATAAAATTCTACATTGACGTTTTGTTGCGAAGTTGTCTGAATTTCAGCATATTATTTTTTTTATACAATACGTGAGAAAAAATTATAATAGCCAGTCCTTATGTCAAGCGAAACGACATCGGAAATTCTATTTTGATGACGTATTTTTGGGATTTTTCACTTCTAGTATCGGTTTCTTTGGCCGGATCATTAGGATCGGAAATGCCCGTTTTTCGCTTATTTATAGTCGTTATAATTGACTGGCTATGAATAAAAATCAGTTCATAAGGATAATAAACAAGCGCATAAAATCAACGCATAAGGATAATAAAACAAGCGCATAAAATCTAAATTAGGCGCGCGTAA